AAAACTTCCTGTCTCAGTCCATTGGGGTTACTATAACAAAATATCACAGTATGTAGGGCTTATAAACTACCAAATTTATTTCTCACAGTTCTGGAGGCTGGAAGTCTAAGATCCGGGTGCTGGCATACTCAGGTCAGGGCGCTCTTCCAGCTTACAGACTCAAAAAAAGTTGTATCCTCACATGGCAAAGGGACAAGGAAGCTCTCCAAGGCCTTATTATAAAGGCACTAATCCCATTCACGAAGACTCTACCCTCAGGACCTAAGAATCTCCCAAAGGCCCTGACTCATAATTTCATCACATTGGACATTAAGTTTTCAACATATGAATTGAGAGGGAAAAGGTGAACATTAACATTTAGCCTATAACAACAATTAATCTGCCCGGGGATACAATGTTAAAATGTCAAGACTGGAGAAAGAGAATTGATGGGAATCATGGAAAGGGATGGACAGGAACTCCTAGAGATTAGATTTCAGAAAATTGGACTCCTTGTAACAAGTGATATAAACAGGGAAACAGAGTGTGGAAATATTTTTTTTTATTTTTAAAATATATATTTTATTGATTTTTTTACAGAGAGGAAGGGAGAGGGATAGAAAGCTAGAAACATCAATGAGAGAGAAACCTCGATCAGCTGCTTCCACACACTCCTACTGGGGATGTGCCTGCAACCAAGGTACATGCCCTGGGACCCTTCAGCCCACAGGCCAACACTCTATCCACTGAGCCAAACCGGTCAGGGCAGAGTGTGGAAATATTAATTTCAATGATCCAAAGGTAGATTAAAATGATGAGGTTTTAGGATGTGAGGAAGAAAGATGAAGTCTCATTTCTCAGGCACTCACTTGAACCTGCTGACCCAGGCAAAGAGACAGTCTTACTCCAGAGCCTTATACTTCTCTAAATCTACTGCTGCCCAAAGAAACTGGGAAGAAGAGCAAACTTACTACAAGCACTGTGGAGCCATGGTGGCCGGCAGAGGGGCAATATCAAGCCCTCTGCCAAAATGATTTATTGCCTTAATTAGAAAAAATAAAAATACAGTTCTATAACTAGATGCTAAAAATTATTTTGTCATACCTATGCAAAACATACTATATAAAGCATCTAAGAAAATAGAAATATAGGAAAACTTCCTTGTATGACAAGATATGTAAGAAATGAACTGAAAATATTATATTAACCAAAATCATTTCACTTAAAATCAGTACAAGGACAGAAAACACTATTCTCACCTTTATTATTTCATATTTTTGGGAAGAATCCAGTTAGGACAATAAGAAAGGAAAAGAAGTACAGTTCACGTAGAACCGTGATCCACAAACTGCAGCTCGCGAGCCACATGCGGCTCTTTGGCCCCTTGAGTGTGGCTCTTCCTAAGCCTTAGGAGTACCCTAATTAAGTTAATGACAATGTACCTACCTATATAGTTTAAGTTTAAAAAATTTGGCTCTCAAAAGAAATTTCAATCGTTGTACTGTTGATATTTGGCTCTGTTGACTAATGAGTTTGCTGACCACTGCCATAGCGAAAAGCATGGGCCCTAGAGTCACACCATTTGGGCTCAAATCCAAGTAGAGTGTATTTCCAGCAATAAAAGACGGAGGTGTATTCACTCCCCTTACTTTTCAGATCAGGCTGCAAAATGGCAGGATAAAAAATCAACACACAAAATTCAGTTGTATTTCTGTACATTAGTAATGAATAATATAAAAAGGAAATTAACAATCCCATTTAGAATAGCATCTTCCTAAAGTTTCAGAACAGTGTGAGTTGCCTTGATATGTTGGTATCAATGATATCAGTTGGGTCCTTCCCTCTCTGCAGCATCACCAACTCACAAAAATAACAATATTGCATGAATCCTCCATCTCAGAATGAAAACAAAATTGTTTGAGACAAAAGGAAATGCATATGAGGATCAACTGGTTTTTTATAATGACCAAGGGAAAGCAGGATAAATTAATAGTGCCTAATTGGTGGTGGGAAGAGGTTTGACAACAGCCCCTTGGCTGATAAAGAACATAGATCAATA